AATGCCGAAATCCAAATTGTTTAGAACAGAATCAGCAAACTTCTTCTGGTCAAACCCTGGTGACAGCCATGTTTGTTTTTATTAGTAGAGGAAGCTTACATGCATAACCATTCCATATTTGGAATTCGCATTTCCTTATATGGTAGGATGAAAATACCTCATAAAATACCGCAAAATTATGGCATGCTGTAACTTATGGCGTGACAGATGTATAATAATTGAGGTTATGTTTTGTTTCTTTTATTTTTAGATTGTTCTTTCATAATTTTAGTTTACACCAAGGAGTCTTCAGTATTAGAAATAGAACAGACTCAGTTTATACAGGTATCTGCTCTATGATATTTTAATTCTTATAAAGACTACCGGTACTTAAATTTCTCAAAAATTGATATAATTTCAGGATAAAAATGCAGTAAAGATGACAGCACTTATTGGACTAGAGTTTGATAATTTCCAGCATGACTATAATGTTAGCCTCTATAGATAGCCAAAATAAATATGAAATAAACAGTGTCAGCAAGCTATTTGGTAACTGTAAGAAATCATATTACTTTTATGATTAAATTCTATTGGTATTATGTCTTGTAGAATTTCCCATGGATAGAGGCTGATAAAAGTAACTATACAATGAATGATGTTAAGATGGTTCCTTTGAAAGCTGTGTCATCAGATCTTATTAAGGTATCCTGTTTTTATTTGCAAACAATGCTTGTGGTTGCAGACATGTTCTTTACTGTGACAACCTTATTTGGTGTTGTCATTCCTTAGGCTTAAAAAGGATTCAGTGACGTTAATGGGGTTTTTTTTATTGTAAGATTATTTCATAATTCAATACCTCAATAATTAGCTCTACATATTTGCTATAATATTACATCTCAATGTCAGATTTAAATTTGATTTGAATTTGAATCACAAGAGCATCGAAACAAAAACACCCAATTTCAATCAGAAAATACATTGAAGTCATAAAATTTTGTTGAGTCTTTGCAATTCGTGCTTCTGTTTGTGTGTCTGTTCCACTGATATCTCATGAACCAATTATCACATTTCAATGAAACTTGGTACATAGATATTTTCAGACCTGATTAGTTTTTGGTTGAAATCTTCTGCATATTAATTACCTAATTTTCATATTAATCAAATTAGGCATTGTTTCTGAAGTACCATTTAACATATTTTAATGAAACGTGGTACATAGATGCTCTTGGATAATCCACAAACCCGAATAGTTTTTGGTTGAAATCTTATATTAATGACCTAATTTGCATATAAATTAGCCAATATATAACTTTTCCACCAACATCTCAACCACTCATCAGATTCAATGAATATTTATAATTGTTAAACCATAGCTACGTGGAACCATCGCAATCATTTGCTCTATTAGGCGCACAAGTCCATGGTCAAAATAACACATATTTCAATGATTTTGTATCTAATAAACACAATGCTTTATGTGTAATGAAGATGTGCTTCTAATATAATAAATACAGTATTTCTTTGTTGTACTTCATGCCTCTAATACCTTCAGCACACGGGAGTTCTTTCTAAGCTTTTTATGATTATAGGGAATGTATTTGCATTTAACTGATAGCTTCATCTACAAACTTGTATGTCATATCTTGAAACTTACAACACATTATAAAACTCCATTTTTTCAACTATATTCTTTCTCAGATGCAACTTTATGCTGAAGAAAGCAAACAGAAAATATCCTGATGTTAAAACATCAAAATGGTGGATGATAGAATGTGAACATACATTTTGGACTATATATCCTATGAGAATAATGTGGACAAATCAATGATTCAGAACAGATGGGAATTACTGTATGCATAAATCAACTGTAGACAGTGCAGTAAATGATGAAGACAATTTGAATATAATAATGAAATTGAATTCACTTTTCAATATTATATTTTTTTTTTTGTATTAAACTGCATAGAAAATGTAAGAATAGATCCTTTGTTTATCAGGAACACATTTCAATGGACTTGATTACGGACAATGCATGACGCAAATTTCACCCGGAAATTCCACAGTGTGCTCTCGCAATTACAGATTTAGTCATTTTTGCAAGTTTTGCCATTTTTGTTGTCACGTGGTTATTATGTGAACAATGAATGTCTGGTTTATGTGAACTTGCCCCTCTATACTTATGCTTTTGAATTATATACGCTAAAGTACGGTTCTGAATGAGACAACAGACAGAGAATGCTTTATTCAAAAACATCATCAAACCCTTCTCGCTACCTTAAGCTACTCTAATGATGATTTAAAGATTTTAATGAATCAGGAATAGATACAACATTTTGTTCACCATGTCTATGGAGCAACTTTCATGTATTTTGAAATATGTGTACTGAGCATTTAATGAGTATACCACATGCCTCAAACAGTTGTCTCTGGTCTATGCGTTGTATATGAAATATAGACTGTGATATTTAAAACGGGGGAGTCATCACCTGTGCATGTGTCAGATGGTCATAATGTGTCATTGTTTACAAATAGCATCTACCCATGAGCCTTTGCATTTTTAGCGTGTGTTGTTATCTTCGCTTGGGACTCAATTCCTGCGTATGCGCAGGTGACACCCTCTTACTTTAAAAAAACTGCTTGCTAATGTCTATTCATTTGTTAATTTTACTTGTAAACACTGTTTTCATTCAGAGTTTCAAAATAATATGTAAGCTCTATTTAATTGATTAATTAGTTAATTACAAATTTACATAAATAAGTTTTTGATAAGATACAAGTGGTATTGTCAATATTATTATTACTTGGGTTGTAATGGTTGTAATGATGATCAACTCAGAAAAAGATTATGAGTGTGTGATGTGTTGACTCAGGAACACACCAAACATCAAAGAAAACAGTAGCTTTCAAGTGTAACTTCTTGTTTATTCCGCCATTTTCAGTTACCCCATGGCACTACTTTTTACATATCAATACACTCAGGTGATCAGATGACATATAACACCATTACAAAAGTATGTATTCTGAGGCATACAATAAACGTGTACAGTGTACAGATTATGACTACAGTTCAAATTCACCACACAATGTTACTAACAATACTGTTTGCAGTACATAGATACTTTGGATTTATAATTTTAATTGAGCTTGATGATGATTGCTAATGCAGTTCAGATCTAATGTGCACATACAAAAAACGAATCCATTTCGTGTCACGTTTGATATAATTGCTTAGAAGTCAGTTTTGAAAGGATGAATACTTGTTAAAAAAAGTTTTTCATAAGCATTCTCTGCATATGGTCATTTTGTCACAATACTTTTATAATGTAGTTAAAAAAATTGTTATTTTTGTCTCAAATTTTGCACATGCATTTTTTAAATCTGTTTTATTACCTCCACTGTCATCAAAAATGACTGAGTGAGTTCATGTGTTGACTGGAGCTGTCATCGTCTGTCTATCGTCAAATTTTTTCCAAGCGACTTCTTCTCCCAAACCATAAACTCGATCACCTGGCTATTTATCGCACAGCTACCTGGGGTGGTCCTCTGTCAGATTTGTGCATTTCATGACATCACATCTAATTCTCTATTTTTTAGGGAATATTTTTAGTCAAAAATGAATGTTCTTGACATGGACTAGACTCTGACTTTCTAATTTCATGAGACCATATGCAAGTGTTTTTTATTGTAAATATTTCTTTGCTCATTTTCGCATATTTTTGACTTGCCAAAATGCCTGCCAGATTGCTATAAAAATCTTGTCTTGACTGGCCATATCATACTCCACAACGTCCATATTTTCAAACTGGTAATAATACAATGACCAGTTTCTTTTATAGTGCCAAACTTTATCAACATCTCTCCACCCAACATTTCCAACTTTCCAACTTTGCCTTAGCACTAATTGTTTCAGGCTTTAATTGCCAACATTCAGAATGACTGTAATTATTCTTGACAAAGTCAGTTAAAAATTACAGTAGTAGAGATTTTTTCTCTCATAGAAGTGATTGTATAATCGATGTACAAAATCCAATGTCTAGATGTTTATTTTTGTTTATTAGGGGATGCAAGTGATTTTTAGTCGTTCTTGAATATTAGTGTTTTTGAGTTCGTGAATAAGCAATCATAAATAGTTCATCTGTGTGGGTTCTGTTATGAAAGACAATATACCACTATAGCACTACTGCCCCCGGTGGTGGGCCAATTGGCATCCCCGTATTTGCATTGTAATTTACTTCTAAATGCTGACTGCCATCACTGGTGACCATATTTTATTTTCATATTTGTTCAGAAAGTTCAGACTCGGTGGGTAACACATTAACATGCTGCAACATTTAATTATAATCTACCTGGTACATCTGTCATTGTTATTAAGGCCAGGCTTTTTTTATTCCTTATTTCGCGATTTTTTATAAGGCAATTTTTTGAGAAGGGTGGGGGAAAAAATCAAATTAATTTTGTTTTCAATTTGATTTGCATGATTCTCAAAGAATTGTAAGTGAGATCATTGATCGAAGAGAAGAAATGAAATACAATTTTATTCCATGTATAACCTTGTTTCTCATCTGCGCTAGACTTCGGTACTTTGATCATGATACTCCCATGAAAATGCAACTTGGATTTGTTTTGCAGCGGGCGGGCAGGTGGATATTGATCAATTGACCAGTGTCAAAAGCAATAATCATTTCCATAATTTATTATTATAAACGTCTCTTCCATCAAATCATATGGATTGAGCGAATGGGTCCCTGACCATCATGATTTGTTCCAATTACTGCATTCTACTCAAAACCTAACATGGCATTTTGGGCTGCACAGAAAGCATCATATCCTGGCGAATGTGGGAAAGATTTTCTACACCACATGGTATTAATAAGCATGTGTTATCACATCAAGTGATTGAATATGCACATATTAACACATGCAGACACAGAACCAGTGCGAGAAGAATTTTAAAATCTCAAATGATTTAAAGCATAACATGTTGACACATTTATAGTCTTGGCTATAGACTGTTAAAATTTTGACTGTTAAAAATCTCCATATTATGCATTATATTTAACTTTTAACAAAACGATAATACATTTAAATTTGGAAATGTTACAGCCATTTTAATTATGAGCATTAGCGAACTTCTTACTGAGTGAATTGTTATGCAAATTAGCAATTATCTCTGCTTCTTTTTAGTGCACATCCCAGAACTTTCAAAAAAAGTAGCTCCTAGACACTTCGACCTTTTGTTTTGAAATTTTCACAAATGATTAACAATGTGTTTATCTTCAAAACGCCGTCGGGGCATTGTTTTTGGTTGAACAGTGTTACAACAATCGTACAGACAACTAGCCTGGGTGTTAATTTTTGTATTAACTTAAAGTAGTAAAATTTGAGCTGCCGCCCTGCAAAATTGACAACTAGTAGACAGTTTTCAAGACGGCACTTTCTTCATAGTAAACATATGTACCCATAAACTAATTTTGATAGGAAACAGAAGAAGCATGGTTTAGAAGCTAATTAAATCACTTTTGACCAAAAAAGAACATTTTTGTGCATATTTCAAACTACAGTGTCCATAAAAAAATACTAACAAAATTTTAAAATTCATACAATAAGCTTTCCGAAAATATATAGTTTTGTGGACAAGGGAGGTCATCTTGGTTTCCTAATTAACTAATTAAAATACCTGTCAGGTAAACTGCATCTCTACCTTAATCGGCATACTTTATCTCATAAAGGACATAAACCATTTCAATGTGAAAAATGTGAGAAAGGTTTACTGAGTCAAATGCTTTAAAATGTTACAGTAAACAAGTTCCATAAAACAGCTAGCCGACTTGACAGTAAATGATTGTTTTGTCAAAGGTATTAACATGCTAGATTATACCTTATAAATGTTTTCAGACTTGTTGTATTTCTTACACTGAGGCTAAGGGAAACACAGGAGAAGATATAAACACATTTCTCAGTCAACGCATATACAATAGAAGGGAGAAATGCATAATTCATTTGAGATGTTTAGTTCAGAGAAATGAAATATGCAGCTTTTTTTACTTTAGATAATGTGTCAGGATCGGCAGATAACTTAGAAGTACTATTTGATGTTAAACGTATTTATTCCAAACAATGCATGTATCACAGTATATTTAGATGA